AACATTCATTAAAAAATTATAAGATAAACATTTCAATAAGGTAATTTTGATTTGATTAGAATTTCCTTCTCAAAGTTTCTAAATATATAGATATAGATACAAATAATTTCAATTGTGTAATAGAGGTAGCAATCATTTCTCTTTCAAAAATATTTCTTGATATGAAACTACTAAATGTAAGATTTTATTATTTATTTATTTATTTAGTAAGATTTTAGTTACATGTAGTTAACATGTAAGACAACAGATATATATGTTTTCTAAAAATCTTTTGTTGTTTCCTTTTCATAATGAAAATTGCAGAAGATACATTCTCAGTGAAAATTAATTACAAGATCTTGGTTGTTAAAAATCTTTTATATATGGCTGGGCGTGGTGGCACATGCCTTTAGTCCCAGCACCTGGGAGGCAGATCTCTGTGAGTTCCAGGCCAGCCTTGTGTACATAGTGAGTTCTAGGCCAGCTGGGGCTACAGGGAGACCCTGTCTCAGAAAGACTGAAAAAAAAAAGAAAAAAATCTTTTATATATGAATGCATGTGAATACACTTTCTACATTTGCTTATGTTTAAAATATATATATATATATAATTATATATATAATATATATATTAAACTTGGTATCAAATTGGCTTTTAAGTTAATGCTCTTGTAAGCTGATGTTGTTAAATTAGTCCAACTTCTTTTGGCTCACAGTAAACTAAAGTTTTAAGGGAAGAGGTTCCAACTCCAGCAGACTTGTTAGTTTGGCCACATGTCCAGTATGCCAACTGAAGATATTAAATCGATGTGACCACTTTGGCACAACAAGTAGAAGTGACTAATGGTCCTAGATTTGTAAGATTTAAAGTTTAACTTGAGTTTTTAAATTTAAACATTTAAAGAATCCTTTTAAGACAAGATACACTAAAGTTTGGTCAAGATCTTATCTCCCTGATCCTTGTCTCAATTCTGGTTCTATAACATGCTCTCCTAATATGTTAAACTCTTTATTCCAAGGATTATGAAAGATCACTTATCTCTGCTTAAGATGTATTTTGTATGTTTGTTAGGTATTTATAAATATAAACATTTGGGGACCCTTTTATTTGGACCCTTTTTCTGTGTCTTTAAAGTCAACCAACAAGTTTGCTAAGGTGTATAACTTTGCCACGTCTATGTAAAAACAGCTCTAAACATTTAAAAAGAAAATTGATGCTGGGTATGGTGGTGCATGCCTTTAATCCCAGCACTGGGGAGGCAGAGGCAGGTGGATCTCTGTGAGTTTGAGGCCAGCCTGGTCTACATAGCAAGTTCCAGGTCTACTCGGGCTACAGGGAGACTCTTTCTCAAAAAACAAAAACAAAAAAATGGGCTGGAGAGATGGGTCAGCAGTTAAGAACACTGGTTGTTCTTGCAGAAAACCTAGGTTTGAATCCCAGCACCCACATGGCAGCTAACAACTGTCCATAACTCCAGTTCCAGGGGATCTGACAACCTGGTCTGTGGGCATTGCATGACACAAGTGCACTTACCTACATGCAGGCAATACATGCATATACATAAAATAAAAATAATAAGTAAAATATTTTTTAAAAAAACAAAAAAGATTAAACTTAAAGAACTAATATAAAGATTAAAATTTTAAGGTCAAAATTCAATACCCTGAGACAAAATTAATGGTTTAGTTACATTAGTTTAGTTTTTTTGTTACAACAAAAAAGTTTTCTTAAATGCTAATTTGTTTAGAAAACAAGAACTTTTAAACATGATTACTAAAAATTCAGAATTACTTGTAGAATCTTCCTTGAAGGATAAAGAAAACCATAGGATTCCATCAACTGAAATAAAAAAAAAAAAAAAATCACATCTGTTGTGGGGTGCTTTACCAGAGAAAACCACTCAGACAAATTTTTGCCGAATGAAAGTCCTTACTGGTCAGGGATACTACACAGGGTGTCGGAACCCAAGCGTGTAGCACCGAGTCATCTCTAGGGTAAGCTTTTATACAGAAAAAACATAACCAGGGGTGAAAAGCTTAAGTCCCCAAGCTTACAGGTGGCAAGTCCCCTTAACAATTTCTATTCTATTAAGTAACAGTTACTATTTTTCAGAAGCAAGCCAAGCATAACCTACAGAAGTGATAAATCTGCAGTTAGCAGGTGCTCTCCAGGACACTCTGACCTGTTCCCAAGACAACCGGGGTCCAGCTGACATGTGTTCCCATACCGTGGGCTAACTGCCTGATAATTTCAGAAACTGAACATTTCTCTCAATTTTTTGTTCCTCAAACTCTTTTATACTTAGCTATTTTTAATGGTTTCTAATATCTAATATTCCACTTAGTATATTCCCAAATGATAAAATAATGCTAATTTTGGTTTAAATTAAGTTATAAATGCTTACCCAGAACCCCTACCTTACTCAACTAGTTTTTATGTTTAAAAGATTTTAGTGTTTTTAAAAACTCTTTGTAGAAATATGTATGTATTTTCCTAATTATTCAGTATAATTTGGATAAAAGCCCAGTTTTCAATTCAAATTTGTGTATATACATATTATATTGTGTTTAACAAGTAACTACAACCTCATTTTCTCTAGGTAGAAATACCCAAAGATTTGTGTTAATTCTTCTTATCCAAATTATACAAGACATCATTCTAGTAACATATTCATGAAATTTTATAGTTTAAGTGCTGATGTTCCTTGATTAAATGAGCATCTAAGTTGTCCTATATATTATAATTAGCCAGAATAAAAATAATTAAGCAATATCAATATTTTACTAAGGAAATGGACAGTACTACTATTTTCATTTCTAATTAAAAATAAAAAAAGTAGTTGGCTAAGCCTTAAAAACTTATAGAATTATGATTTCCTTACAGGTTTGATCTCTTGTTTCTATTGATGTTATTAATATTTGTTATGAAGACATTCTTGTTAGAAAAAAAGTTTAAAGGATACTATATTGTTGTGTAATTTCTTATATATGTTTCATTTTATCTTTTTCACACTAAATCTGGTATGATGCTAATATAATTAAATAGATGAAGTCATTTTTCACAATAAGAACTACTAAAGTTAGAGCTAGCCACTCCATGAAGTCATAGCTATAAGGTCTAATTGATCCAAAGAAAAACCAAACATTGGAAAACAATGGATTTGTTTAAATGTTCCAAATATAAATTAAACAATTCATAAAGTTCAAATAACTGTAAATACAGAGGGAAACATAGTGAATCTCATATTTATTTTGATGTTTGTTGCCTTAATTTCTTACATTTGCTCCATTAGGTCAAGCAATGCTCTTGGTTATTTTAAGTATAATCATTCTATTATATGTCAATATACAAATGTTATGTCAGATACAGAGGACAAAAGAAAAGTAAGATCCGGATCATGCTGGCTAGTAGTTTTGATATGATCCAAGAATTTCTTTCTTATTGGCCCTACCAACTGGTTATTCCTCTCTCCTGAAGCCTGCTGTGCTGCCTACAACTGAGCCTCATCTACATCAGATTCTAGGAATGAACCTTCCTAAAATAACCTGTGAATAAATAGTATGTGGCCCTTGCATGCACAAAATGTGGTGCTTGGACAACAGGGGGAACTGTGAAAGAATGTTCCCAGAAAGAACTCCTGCATCTTGGACTGCATTTCCTGAAAGGCTGACCAGGTAATTAGCACTCTGGAGATTGTGGAGAGTCTGGAATGTTGCAGAGCCAGAGCCTATTCACAAATTATCTGAGGACATCTTTAACTCCCCATATAGTCACACCTTCCTACCTCTGTTTCTGAATTAACATTGTTAGGTAAATCGCGAGGAATCCTCAAGACACACAGAAGGACTCTCGGCAAAGCAAAGTTTAATGGAGGGTCGCCTCGGGTGAGAAACAGCCACCACCTTGAAGACTGCTGGCTTGGGGACTTTTGTAGGGGCTTAGGGAATGTGGAAGGTGGCAAAAATAATTCAAACAGTTTCTGAGGGAAACTGATCTGGAACTTATCAGGGAGAAGCAGTCTTTGCTGAGACAGCTTTACATCAACCAGGTCATGAGTCATGGGATTAAGGGGTCTGTTTATCTTCTAAGTTTATCTGAGGGAAATAGCCTATGTTGAGACAGCTTCTTCATGGCCAGTGCAACTGCTGACTCAGTTCCTGTTTTTCAAGGGGCCCTTAGGATCTGTCTTGTGAGGTTTTACTGCACTGGGGGGAGGGGCTGCAGACCTGGACTCTATCAAAAACATAAACTGTTATCACGATGGAACATGGAATTTGGGTAACAGGAACCTGTGTTCCTGGGCCATGGTCACTCATGTTTGGCTCCAGAATAAACCATCTCGTATCCCTTTTGAGGTGAGAGTTATGCTTTTGCGCTGACAGTTTTTATGTTATTGGTTGAAAATGGATAGATAGAGAAGTTTTGTGAGGAAGCGGGAGGCATCTGCTGCATTCCAAATTCTTGAGTTGTGATATTAGGCCCTTCCCCTTCCTCATAATCCAGTGGAATCTGGTCTGCCCCTGGGAGTCCTCCTCTGAAATTTGAGTTCTTCCATGGACATTGTTTCTCAATCTCACAAGCACTTGTGACCCTACTTCTTAGCAGAAATTACACACTACGTGTTGTTAAAGACAAGTGCCCTATCTGGAAATGCAGGATCAGGTGTGCTTAAAAGCACATACATGTGTTTTTGGTAAGTGCATGCGTGTTGTGCAATGCTCAAGGAAGACAGAGAGGCTGTTGGATCCCCTGGGAACTGGAGTTACAGACAGTTGTTAGCCGCCATGTGGGTGCAGGAATTCGAACCCGGGTCTTCTGCAAGAACAACCAGTATTCTTAACCGTTGAACCATCCCTCCAGACCCTGGGGTTTGTAATTTGATCTCTACCTTGCCAAGTAAAATTGCATCTCCTGTCACTCATGCACTAGGAGGCGGGCCTGAAGGCCGCTAGCCTATCAGGATGTTGTTTTAGGGGTGAATGAACTGGCCTATGAGAGCTATTGGCCTTGGATGAAGGAAATCAACCACTACTTCCTTTCCCGCCACATTAGGCGCGCGTGTTTTCTGCTGAGAGATCCCAAGTTTCGCCGTCGGTCTCTGCGTCCCTCCACGGACTGCAGGAGCCACAGGAGCCCAGGACTCCGTCGCTGGAAATGGTGCGTGCGGCCGGGCGTCCTCTCCTGGGTGTCGCGCCGAGGCTGCTGCAAGCGGAGGTGGGGACGCGGCCTCCCCGCGGCAGCTCAGTCTGCGGCTGAGTCTCCTCTGGCTCGGCTGGGCCTCGCTCCCGGGTCCCGCTGGGTGGAGCTGGGCCAGCAGCAGAGCCGCGGACCTGGGCACTGCTGAGCGCTCACTGCAGCGGCCTCTGCGCAGCTGGGCGTCCACATAACCGGGTGTCCGCAGCCTGGGCGGTGGGGGCGGAGGGTCGTGGGAGACTCGGGACTCGGGTGGGGTCGCGTGGGAGGAGCCGCGGGGTGTGCTGACCTCGGGTCCTGAGCGTTTTATGTCAGTAGCAGACAAGCACGTTTGTGGCCTTCCACAGTGTCAGAGTTTATCAAATACTGAAATTCACTAGCATTGTGGGTTTTATTGGTTACAATTTGCCAAGTAAGCCTGATTTTGCTTTCTAGATGGCTATTGGCAGTCACAGTTTTATTCCAATCTTATTTACCAATATTTTTATTTATTATTTATTTAATTGTATGAGTGTATTGCCTGCATGTATATAAGTGCGTCCGTTGTTGTGCAGTGCCCAGAAAAATCAGAAGAGAGCATCGTATCCCCTGGAACTGGAGTTAAGAACATTTGTTAGCCATATGGGTGCTGGAAGTTGAACCTGGGTCCTCTGTCAAATGGAAGCTGATAGGGCTCAGATCCAGGCGACCCCAGACCCAGAAACCATGAGGCTCCTAAGAGGACCTGAGTCAACCAACTCCCTGGCCACCTGCAATTTAACAAAAGCAGCCCTGGGAAGTTTATGACCAATGTATTGCGATTACCAGAGCGTGCCCTGCAGGCTGACAAACAGGTTTCCCAAGCCCTTAGCTGCAGTTAATTCCTGGAACCCTGTAATTGTAGAACATGCTTTACAGTAGATGTTCTCCCCCCCCCATATGGTTCACCAGGTGCAGCCCCCATGCCCTCCATTGAGCAAGCAGCCCCCAAAACAGTCCCAAACAGCAGAAAAATATTCTTTTTCTGCATTCTTTCCCTTTATAAAGCTACACCTCTGCCTCCATTAGGCTGCTGGTTCATCCTCATACCCAAGTTGAGGACCAGCCCCACCAAACCTAATTAAACTCTTCCTTTGCCAGTCATCTTTGTTTCTGTTTCACAGTGATCCTGACCCCTGCCACCTTTTTATCTAAGAGAAGCCTCTTAATTTACAGCCCCGCCCCCCGTGTTTCTTTCCACCCCCGTCTTTTGAGACCTGGTCTCCCTGTAGCCCCAGCTGGCCTGGAACTCACTATGTAAACCAGACTGGCCCTTGGCCGCATAGAGCTTCACCTGCCTCTGCCTCCGGAGTGCTGGGACTAAAGGTGAATGTCACCATGCCCAGCTCTTAACATTGTAAAAGTAAAACTTTCTTTGAAAGAAAGGACTACTTTTCATTTATATTTCTTACTGTAGGAGGAGGAAACAGTGGTAAACCAGGGTGAACTGGAACAAATTTAAGATGGGAGGGCCAGGAGTGAAGGAGGGTGGCCACAGTCAAGGTCAAGAGGGCAGTTTTCCCTGAGGTCATCCTGTCTTTAGGTGTGGGAAATGTTAAAGAAATGAGTCCTTTCTGTCAAAGGGATAAATAAGACAAAACTACATGTAAAAAAATTGCCAGGGAACTGCATGGCAGTGATTCAGATTCCTCCACAGCCAGCACTTTTTAAAATGAACATAAGGGCTCACGGTTGCACTGAGTGTTGAAAATTGCATGCTGCTTATCAACCCAGTCACTTTAAGTCAGCCAGTCTCAGAAGAATAAGAATGTGAGGCTGAGTTCTGAACACAGGACCCCCTTTATGTTACCAATAAAGACTCAGCAGGACCTTCCTGACTCCTGGATTCAGAGCTCTGCACCTGTTTGCAGCAGCTGAAACTTTTGCCTTGGGAAATCCTTTGGGTTGTGTGGGGTCCCAGATGCATTTCTAGCATTAGGATTGCAGTCAAGGTACTTCAGGGTCATGCTGGGGGTGGATCAGAGTTCATAGGAGACGAATAAGGAGACAAACGTAAGGAAAATCTGCCCAGTTAGGCTTTTTTTTTCCCCTGATCAATTCAGGTATTTAATGTAGAGGCAAAAAGTGGGAATTTGGAAAACCCCGTTGATGTGTATGAGTGTACTGCCTGCATGTATGTAAGTGCATCTGTGTCGTGCATTGCCCACGGAGGTCAGGAAGGGGTGTCAGATCCCCTGGAACTGGCTTAACTGGCTTAGAGATGGTTGTTAGCCAACATGTGGATGCTGGGAATGGAACCTGGGTCCCCTGCAGGAGCAGTTACTGCTCTTAACTGCTGAGCCATCTCTCCAGCCCAAAGTCAACATTTTTATGTACTCAACTTTACAACTGCAGTGTTGTTCTGCTAGGGCTATAATAGAGAGATTAAGGATTTCATATGGGTGCATAGGTGGATTTTGTCCCACATTGAACCCAGTTTTTGCACATTGATCCTAAAACTTGGAGTTTTCCGAGTGCAGTGGGAGAAAAACACCCTCCATTTTGTCCTGGGCCATCCTGACTCTAGGCTGTGGCTTCTTTGACATTCTTCAGCCACTCACCTCCCCCAGCAACACATTCAGGGCTTTTCAGGCATCTGACTATAACCAAAACAACCACTGTAGCAAGGTCTCACTGACCACCATCTGGTTCAGACTGTTATGATTTTTTGCAGCTTTTGCCTTTTTTTTTTTTCCTTTAGCCCCAGCTGGCCTGAACTCACTATGTCTACCAGGATGATCTTGAACTCACAGAGATCTGCCTGCCTCTGCCTTCCCAGTCCTGGGACTAAAGGCGTGCGCCACCATGCCTGGCAGCTTTTGCCTTATAAACTCTGTACCCCTGAGCTTCAGTGCTGAAAGTTTTTTTCTGAGAAGCTAGCCACTCTTAGTCACAAGCAATTAATAAAGAACTCCTTTCCCTTTTAACTGACATGTGTCTGGTGGTGATCTATAACTCTCTCCTGGATATAACGAGTAGTTTTTTTTTCTTTGTATTCCATAATCCCCTTCAAGCAGTGTCTGAATTTATGCTAATGAGGATGGTTGGAGTATCCCCCAGTGTGCATGTGTTCTGTCTTGGATACATAAATACTGTTGTAAGGGCTCAAGCCAAGGCCTGTTTTGGAGAGTTGCCATTCCTCTCAGCAGGGCTCTGTGTGGAGTGGCTCTTAACAAAATGGAGTAGGAGTCCCTGTGACTAACCTTGATTTATTTGTATCTTATGTGTATAAGCGTTCATTCCTCTCAGCAGGGCTCTGTGTGGAGTGGCTCTTAACAAAATGGAGGAGTCCCTGTGACTAACCTTGATTTATTTGTATCTTATGTGTATAAGCGTTTTGCCTGTAGGTATAGAAGTTAATCATGTACGGACAATGCCTGCAGAGGCCAGAAGAGGCAGTGGTGAGATCCCATATAACTGGAGTTGTGAGCCACCATGTACGTGCTGGGAACTAAACCCAGGTCCTCTGCAAAGGCACCCAGTGCTCTTAAGTGCTGAGCCATGTCTCCGTCCCCCTAGTTTTTATTTTTATTTATGTGTCTGTGTGTGTACATGCCCGAGGAGGCTAAAAAGGGTGTCGGTTCGCTGGAAGTGGAGTTCCAAGGGATTGTGACCACTCTGTGGGTGCTGGGACTCAAATGGGTTCTCTGGAAGAACAACAAGCTGAATTTGAGGAAAGCCAGTTGTCAGTCTTCAAATTGGTATTGACCCTCATAATGTTTTAAATCTTTTTTTCTTTGGGAGGAGGGGTTGATGAGGGGTTCAGTCTTTGGGTCAATACCTGGCTGTTCTTTGTATGGCATCAGAAATCCTGGATCCTGTCATCCATCATGTTAGAAAATGTTACGTGGGGCTGGGTACAATGGCAAACGTCTTTAATCCCAACACTCAGGAGGCAAAGGCAGGCGAATCTTTGAGTTCAAGACCCACCTGGTCTTCATAGTAAGTTCCAGGCCTGTTGGGGCTACAGGGAGACCCTGGCTAAGGGAAAAAAAAAAAAAAAAAAAAATCAGCTCAGGATTGACCAGAGTGATGTGAAAATAAAAGTTGAGAGACTGACCTTAGGAGCAGAGTATTCTTTATTAAGAACAATGAAGGTGGCGACAGTTTCTCTGAGGGATTTGAAACTGTGCTCTCAGGCAGTTGGTGGACTGCTTATGAGGGCTGGGGGAGTGGGAAAGGGAGAGGGGATAGTGTTATTTTCATAGTTCAGTGTAAGCGTCTGTGACATGGTACAGATGTTTGAGACAATAGGGGCTCAATAGTCTTTGGGTTGGGGGCTTTACACAGTTCCTGGGTTGGAAATAGGCTGGAATCAGAGGTTTACTTAACTGGTGTGGAGTAAATCTTAAAAAAAGTGTTATTCCCATAATTTGGTAAACTCCCAACTAATAAACTTCTTTTGAATGCCGGAAGTGAATAGTGGGACTTAGTTTCAGACAAGTCAAGCTTAGGCACCGGTGACCTTACGTTTAGGAGATTGAGCAGCTTTCTTAATGTTTTGTCTGCCACATTGTTTCAAGTGACTTCAGTGCCCCCTTCTGGTAGTCCAAACAGTGCATGACTACCAACTCCAGCCTCCTGCAGGCTTCCAGTAGTCTTAAGATTTTCTGTTGTATGTTTAATTTCGTTTTTGATGGAATTGAACTCTCCCCTTTTTCTAGATGCAGCTGTGAGCATTCAAAGCAAAAAAGGCAGGCCTGACAGTAGGGTCCTTCTGGTCTGTTTCTCTATTGACCGTTGAGGGCCTTCTATCGGGGTGATGATTTCCTCTACAGTAACCACAGCATCCCCAGCTTCATGGTTACCTGATAGATACAACTGCTTCTATGTGTGTATAGGGTCCAATAGACCTTTTGAATTTTTAAAAATTTTATGTTTTTTAAATTCTGTATATCTGTGTATATTTGTATGTGCACATGAATGCAGTGTTCCCAGAGAGTAAA